GATCTCAAACATCAGGTAGTTCTTCCCGTCCACACCAGTGTGACGAACATATTTCCCCGGGAGCCGTCCGGTTGGCAGTCGCGGGCGCCCCTGGTCGGCTGTCCACTGGCTCCCACTCGTTCATCTCCTCGCCCTTGACCCTGACCTCCTGGGTCTCGGTTTTGCGGCATTTCGTCTCGCGATTGAGGCTCATGCGAATATGGAAGTTGATGAGAACCGCTGAGCTCTGGGCTCGAAGGTTCGGCTCTTGCCAAAATTGCGATGGACGGAGGAGCGTCTGGGTCTCTAGGGAGTCCAGGAGATCTTGGGGTCTCTGGGAGCTCGTGAGAAGGTGTCTCGGCCATTTGGGGATCCTTGGTAGATGTTAATGTAAACGAAGTGCTAGTGGTTTCCGGAATCGCATTCCTGGGAGTAGCCGTAATCGGTCTCGGAGATGCCGTTTCTGACGTATTAGAGGTTTCCGTATCCAAAATTCTAAGAGTCGCAAATTGTGATCTTCCGAAACCCGTTGATGATCTTGATGCTCCCGTTAACGATGTGGGTGTAGGCCTCCAAGACGTACCGGAAGAAGCGGTCTTAGGTGGACTCGTCTTGGGAGTTTCTGGAGGATCATCTTGGGCTTCCCGGGCCTTTGGGCTCATATGTAGGGGATCTCGTGTGGCTTCACGTTCTGGTGACTGCTTCTTGTCTGTTTTACCCTCCAGCACCAGCGCAGCAATCGGTGTTGAGGGCGCGACCTCTTCGATGGTCGCCACGAAGCCGGAGTCAGCTTCGGCCACTAAAGGCAGTGCAAGATGGCCGCTCGGAAGGAAAAGAGAGCAGCTGAATTCGGCGATCGAGCTTCTTGAAATAGATCTCGTTCTTCTCGCAGTCAATCACGGCTCCGAACCGTCGTAGCACGTCCACTCCGATCAGCAACGGAGCGTCGGCGTACAGGATATTAATCTCCAGGTCGCCATCCACGCCGGCAGTGTTCAGCGGGAACGTAGCCTTGCCAGTGCAGGTCTTGGAGTTGCCGTCGCCGAAGGTGAACGTCGTCTTCTGCTAGGTGTCCATATTGATGTTCTTGCCCGTCGCGTCGTAGATCAGGTCGCGCAGCTTCTCGGCAGCCTGGATCCCGATGATGGAGGACATAGCGCCGATGTCCAGGATGCCGAAGCCCCTGTGGGCGCTCTCCAACACGCTCATCAGCATCCAGTTGTTCGTCTCCTTCAGCGCGGCCAGGATCGGGAGCTTCTCGCCGTGGCGCTTCGGAACCTCTGGCTTGCTCAGCGTGTCCTCTAGCTCGCGCAGCGACATGTCGCGCTTGATCATCAGCACCTCCATCTCGGCGTCGCGCTGGACGTTGTAGAACACGAACGAGGAGACGCCCTTCTTCGGTCCACGATCGCGGTCGGCAGACTGGCTCCTCGGCTTGTGATCCTTCGTCTCGTGATTGCCGCCACACTTCAGACAAGGTCCTTTGCGACTTGTCTTCGTTTTCGTGTCTCTCGATGATGTTCTCTTGTCCTCATCGAGCGGCTTGCTGTTTGGCCTCGGGCTTTTCGTAGATGGCCGTCCCCTCGAAGGCTTGTCGTGGTGACCATTCTTCTTCTCCTCATCCACGGGATAGATCTTCCGGGCTGTCTTCGCACGACGAAGGAGATCTCGAGCTTCTTCAAAACTGCGCTGCTGAGCGGCGAAGGCCTGTTCTGCCTGCTCGATCTCCTCCGCGCTGTAGAGCGGCTCCTCCAGGCTGTCGTCGTCCTCGTTCTCGGTGCCGACCGACGTCTCGGACTGTTCGTAGTAGATATGTTCTTCAGCGTTGGGTTCTTCTTTGTCTTGGTCCCACCTGGCGTGAACGCGTCCGCGGTCTCGATGGCGGCCTCGATGCTCCTTTCCCTTTCTGTCGCGGTTCATGAGCTCGTCATCTGGCCACGATACTCGCAGCAGCTCGCCGATACCCTCATAGTCAAAGTTCCCCTTGACTGCGCTGATGACCGCTGCGCGCTCGGTCGGCGTGAGCCGCGAGCGCTGTGGTAGCCAGCCGCGTAGTTGATCCAGTGGGATCGCCTGCTGGAAGTTCGTGCCAAGGTCCGGATGTTCTGGTATCTCCTCGAGGCCAGTCTTACTGAAGTTCCGCAGCCAATCGTTGAGTCTCTTGGCTTCGTCTGCGGCATCGTTCGGGCCCTCGTATGCTATCTTGTTGGGGAACCAGTTCAGCTCTGGATAGAATTCCACTCCTTGGCCCGGGCCGACAACCGCTCCATCCTTTGGCGGTTGAAATATTCGGTGTCGAAACCCTTAACTACATCGTGGTAGGCTTCGTCGTCACGGCTGATGTAGCTCGGCATTGGCTCTCCGTTGTCCTTGCGCAGGTCGAAGATCCATCTCGCCAGGTACTTCCCGGCGTCCTGAATCGGTTGAGCTCCGAGCTTCGATCTGACATGTCTCTAGGCCTCCTAGATGGGGTCGGAGTAGATGGGGTCGGAGGATCGCTCCGCATTGCCGATGCATCGGCGATGCGTCTCGATGTGGAGCCCGAGTTGCTTCACGTCGACGTCGGCGATGCATCGGGGACGTCGACGATGCATCGCCGATGCATCGCCGATACATCGCCGATGCATCGTCGATGTATCGGCGATGCGGCGCGATCCTCCGACCCCATGTACTCCGACCCCATTTAGGAGGCCTCTAATGTCAGAGCAGGAAGTCTGCGCCGTTGTCAGCCTCGAGTTTGTCCCAATCGAGATCTTTGGCTGCTTGTCGAGCGCGTCCCTCTAGCTTTCGCCAGAGCCTCGGTCCACATACGTAGCGATCGTCACGTCGTGTCCCACGAATGTAAGCTTTGACGTCTCTCTCGTAGTCGTCCACCGTGGTGAGGTGTCCAATCAATTTGGAAATGATGCCATCGAACTGATTCATCATGTTGTCCGCCCGTGGATCTTGTATGCTCCGCTACCATGCAATGGTCCCGCTTCGAACCACTGCCCTCTGATAAGTACTCCTTTACTCCTCTGAATGCTAATCTCCTCGATCTCCTGATTGACGTTGTGGATGTGCGGGGCAGTGGGGAAGTGCGTCGCTGGACACACGATGACCCGGCACAGGAACCTTTTTGTCAGCGGGCCAGTTCGCTGTGCTGCGGCTCAGACCGCAAGTCAGTAGTCTAGCAGCCCTCGCTGCTATACAAAAGCTTGAGCCAAGACGGTTTCGGAAGAAACGTCTTGGGAATGCGTGAAACACTCTAAAAAGAAGCCTCGAAGGCTTGGGGCTCTCTAGGGCACCTTGGGGAGACCATTAAACATGGCTAGGCTACAAACAGAGATATAAAAAGGGACCTGCTACGCCAGGGAACGCGGACTTACGTAATATGGATACTATGCAGTAGGCTCCTTAGAGCCGTGTCTTAAACTCGGCCTCGATGGGCCATCTGTCGTAAGTAGGCACAGTGAGGTAAGCTCTGGGCTTGTGAATTGCACCCTCCACCCCCGTGTGCGCGCCGCCAGCATATGCAGCTGCGGTACCATGGTCTGGGATGGCGACTTCGATAGCTCTGTGAGTCACGTCGGAGATGCCCCGCTCCACGTCTGCGAGGTAAGGGATCAGCTTCGCCTCACCGATCCCCATCTCAAATTGGCCATGGTACCTCAGCCCACCAAGTCACTTGCCTAGGTGGGGATAGGCCCTGCGAAGCCCGAAGGGAACAGTAAGTCGGCCAGTGGGGCCAAGGCCATGCCAGTGTGGCTCGATGTTCAAGGAACACCAGTTGCCAGTGATGCTCATCCGCCCGGCCTCCTGCCCTCGGCTGCACGCACCCATGAGTGACCCTTCGCCGGAGCGGCCTTTGGTGCTGGCCCACTGGGGCCTCCCGATCCCCGAAATTCGCCGAGCGCGATGCGATAGCAGCGGCCTGCGCGGCTGGATGTGGCCCTCTGGCGGCCCCGAGAGGCCGCGCACCGGAAACCAGAGCTCACTCTTGCCCAGGGTAACTCTTGCGTGTGGCGGCTGCCACTGGGTGCACGGGGCCTCGGCCGCCCGGAGGGGGCGCGAGCTGGAGGTGGTCGTCCCGCCGGGGGCGGTCGTCCCGCCGCCCTGGAGGACTGCCTCCGCCCTGGGCCTCCCGGAGGGTGTCCGAGTGGATAGGGGTCGGAGGATCGCGCCGCATCGCCGGGCCGCGCACCGCAGGTCACTCCTGCCAAGGGTCACTCTTGCGGGTCGCTGGTGCCCCTCGGGGCACGTCCCCGAGGAGCGCGGTCCCTGGCGCCGCCGCGAGAGGCCGCGACGGGCTCGGGCGCGCCCAGGACAGCACGGGCCTTCGCTCGCCAGCGGCGGATCGAGCGAGACGCGAGGAGGAGGAGGAGGAGGAGGAGGAGAAGGAGGAGGAGGAGGAGGAGAAGGAGGACGAGGAGGAGGAGTCAGGGGCAATGTTCGGCCCAGGGGGGATCGGCAGAGGGGGGGTCTGCATTCGAGGTTCTCGATAATCTCGTGTTCTCGGCGGTTTTCCAGCCTCGCGATGCTCTCCAGCGGCTGCGCCTCGCCGAGAGCGTTCTGGGGGTACATGGATCTTCCCAGACGGCAGCCGGAGAGCCGAGTCATGAGCCGAAAATTGAGGGGCAACGCTTGGGGTATGCTCAGGGGGAGATGCATTGACCCCCAGTCGCCCATCGATCGCTGAACGTGCGGATTCGCTATCGTGGGCCTGTCGCCGATCTATCGGCGATGTATAGTTCTCCCCTTTCGTTCCCCCTCACGTGCCAAGATGAGGAGGAGGAGGAGGAGGAGGAGGACGACGACGACGAGGAGGAGGGGGACGGAGGATGAGAGCCAGAGGCGAAGCATCGGAGAAGCAAAGTCTGCATAAGCGTACACTTCCGGAGGTCCGTGCGGATGTGCCGCGGCCCTGGCCAGCGCAGACCCAGGACATTCGCGCGGACCTCCGAAACGTGTTCATGCAAATTTTGTACTTCTAACAGCAGGTGGATGCAGACGATCAGGAGGAGGATCCAGCTGCGCGCCAGGCCGACGACTACATGCCCGACGCTAAGAGCCTGGAGCTCCGGAGTTTCGTCTTCGGAAACATACAGGTCGGATCGCCAGCAGCGGCGGACCCGAACTACATCAATCCGTCCGAGGTCGATTGGCCTCAGCCGATGACGCACCATGAATGATATCCGCAGTTTAAACGATGATACTTCCGGGAAGTGATACAAACCCCCACCCTGCCAAGCCCAAAAGGGAATTTGCCCGTGGGGCCCGTTTTTAGCTTCTCGAGGGTGCTGCAGCCGCCATGCTTCGGGCCTGCGCAGGGGCTCTGGTCCCCAGGCCATTTTCGCTGAAGGGTGTTTTAATGATGTCTACCCCCGAAAGCTGGACTTCGCTCAGCTAGGCCAGTGCAAGCGAAGTTCACGCAGCTTCGGCTGCCTTTCTTCTTCTGCTGAACTCAGCTTGGCTTAACCTTGCTTGGCTCCGTCTCACTCTGGCTTGTTGAATATCAGTTTCGCTTGCCGAACTGAGCACAGCATGAGCCGAACTGACGCAAGAGCCAAAGCCCGATCTGACGTTCAAGCCAATGCAAGCAGGCCTTACGGCTTGCTTCGTACATGATGGCCACATCTACGTCCAACGTGACATTAAAGCGAGAGCAAGAGTCTATCAACGTTGTTCTGGAATCAGTCGAGCTGAGGCCCCCATTCGCATGGCGAGGTAGGCAGCTAAGTAAAGCGAGGAGAAGCTCAGGTCTAATAGATGGCTCAGCTAAATCAATGCTAATTTCACGCTAATCCAAGCAAGAGGATTGGACGAACACCTAATCTCAAACGACGCCCCAAGACATAATGATAATATTCGAAGTCGAAACGATGTCCGAAGCTAAAGGGAAGCACACTACCCTATTATGAAACAAGCCAGGTTCAGCTGTTCAAGCAGCAAACAGACGTACGGCTGTCGTCACATGAAGCACTCACATCTGTGTCCGTGTGTTAATTAGCTCACGCATGCTCGCGATCATAACCTCGCGCACGGGGAAGCGCATATGTATGCGCATACACACCGGCATAGTGACACGTACGAGCAACACAACAAGTTGAAACAATGACACACTCACATTGCCAAACACATTCACACACATGAAAGCACAAATGGAATCATACACAGTCATACGCACATATGTGTTGTCAAGAGCATGTTTGTCACAGTGTGCACGAGCACTTGCACGCGCATGCGCACACATTTGTTAGAGTATGCGTAGCCAGACGCACGTCGGCACACAGACGAGTACACGCGACAACGTGAGCATCGTTTGCACCGTCGGCAAATCACATTGGTGCAAAGCCCGCGTCAATCGCGATGATCAAAGCGCATGCTCAGATGCTGCGCGTTCGCGTACTCATTCAACACACGGATACGCCTTGCAGAAAGCATAGCCACGGCAAGGCGCATTATAATGTTGACTGTGCTGAGCCCCATGTGGTAGACAGGATCAGGGGCACGTTGATCTCCGCATGCGCGTCTTCACGCATGACGCTTGCAATTTATGGCCTGTACACACGTAAGTCAGTATACATACGCAAATGCAGAAGCACGCGCGATGCAGGTAGCAATGCGCACAACTACGCGCAAACCGTACACGGAAAACACGTGGGCGCGCGCAGATGCTCACGTGTGCCAGCACGAAAGTGCATCCTCTTCTGTTGCCCGGTTTCTGCGGCCATTTGGGCTCAGGCGTTCGGCCGGTTTTGAACAACGGTTGGGCGCAGATGTTGGCCCTTGGGCCGTGCGGCACCCACGCCACGAGGCAGCGGGCCAGCGATGCCTTGCATGGCTCTGGGCTCGTCGGTCCGAGTCTGGCGCTGCAGGCGGGAGAGCACGAGTTCGAGTGAACGTGCGTGCAGGTGGCGGCAGCCTCAGACATCAGCGTGGAGGAGGCGCGGATCCCGCTGCAGGAGCTCGTCGACCATGCGGTGCAGGAAGAACCGGTGCAGAAACGGCTGCAGTCGCTCCATGGCGTCCCTAAGCAGGCCATGCCGGAGGACGCTACGAAGGGCCTATTGGTCGTGAGCGTGCAGGAACGGCAGGAGGCCGCCCCCCCTCCAGGGACCCGCGCGCTGGCAGGGATCCGCCACGCGCAATTGCCGAGGAGGGTCGCGGAGGGCTGGAGGCCCGAGATTGGGTTTGCTCGAGGCCTCGATAACTTCTCGGCAAGACGGAGGTGCACTCACTGGAGGGGGTGCGGTCCGGCATGGGCCCGGAGCGGGTGATGGATGGCATTGCGGACTGCGCGGGCCTCGACACGGTGAGGTCATGCGCGCGGGCAGGCGGAACCACGCGCCGTTGGCTCCGTGCGCACGGCGTCCCGTGGCCGAAGACAGTCGTGCACTTCGTTGACTACGTGCGTGCCAGGGCTGCGGAGCCATGTCCTTTTGCGCGCTGACCCGGACCGACCAAGCGACAGGCTTCGACCTGGGCGCCAGGCTCTCCTCTCGGCCCGAGGTGCAGCAGGTCGTCGCGAACGCGGAGGTGCTTCTCGGGGCTGGCAGGGGCCCGACGATTAGGGCAGCCCGTTTCGCCAACGCGTTTTTCGGGCCATGGAGCAGCTGGTCGCGGACGAGGGCATCGCGAAGCATTTGCGCGGTGTTGCGTGGCTTCGCCTCGTTTAGGTCTGGGCCGCGCTGCGCGTCGACGACCGCGGCTCGCTGGCAGCCGCCCCGGCGTCTCGCCTTCGCGGGCGGAGGTTCGAGAAGACCAGTGGCTCGGGGCGCAGGATGGCGCCGGAGCTGCCGCCGGCGGTGCCCCGCGCGTGCTATGCGCGGGGCCCGGCGTGCATTGAGACGGGCTTCGTGCCGTGGCCGGACATCGCGGACTTCGACAGGGGTTCGATTTCTGGCCACGGCGCGACGACGGCAGCCGGGGGGCGGTCTGGAAGCCCGCCAGGCACGCCGAGGCGGCTTCGAAGGGCCAGGAGGCGCCGCGGAGAATGCTGGCGCCAGCCTCGGCGGGAACGGCCGCGGAGGCCGGGGAGGTCGTCTGCTTTGGAACGGAGCGCCCAGAGCGAGCGACGCCCCCCTCAGCCTCGGCGGCCCTGGGGGGCCTCGAAGAGCGACCGGGGCCACGGGGGCGGGCAGCCGCCAGGTGGCGCGGGCGCCTGCGCGAGGACGCGCCGCGCCGTCGTCTCCAGGCATCAGCGGCAGTTCGCGGGGTCGCTGCAGCGTCGGTGGGGTGCGAAAAGTAATTTGTCATATCAGTGGGCGTCTTGGCTCAGGTTTTTCTTCTCGAGCGTTTTCCCCGTCGGCGCATGCGCGAGCACGCGGTGCTCGAACATCCGGGGGCGCGGCTGCCATCAGGCACTGATGTGGGGACGATGCTTGAAAAACCATATGGGCATAACAATAATGCGTATTTCGCGCTGCCGCTCCGTCGATCACGCAGCGGGGCGGCGCGCGCGCAATCTCCGCGTTCCCAGCGGTCGCACGTCAGGGGCGCGGCAAGTTGTGTCCTGAACGCCCACGCTTGTTCCCCAGCGAAATTGGTCTGCCAAATTATCCGACCATTTGCCGCGGCGCCCCTGGGCCGCGCGCCAGCGGGCGCCGATGCGCTGGATATTCGCCTCCGACCCAGGAGGCTTCGAGACGGCTGCAACTGCTCGGGCCCCGCTTGGCAAGCCATCGCAGCAATGGCGGATATGGCACTTTTTGCTATCGCAGAGCCGTCGCGCAATTCGCGGGCCCCGTGCGATCCACATTAATTATTCGATCCAGACTATCACTGCTTGCGTTTCGCATTGGCTCTGCGATGGCATGACGCGCCGGCGCTCCGATTCGGAGGTACTGCTGCGGGGGATGGCTTCGTGTTTTTCTGCCTTGTGTAAGTTGAAAAGGTTCCCAGGAAGTCGCCATTCGCGACAAGTCGGTGCCGTTCTGGCTGCGCGCCATCCCGACGTCGCGCGGGATGCTGCGCGCGCGCGCCGTCACAGAGGCGCCGGCATCGCGTCGGCCACGGCGCGGCCGCTGGTCAACTTTCAGCGGCAGGGTCTTCTGCGGAAAGGCCAAACTGTCGAGTGCCAAGGCGTCGTCTACGGATGGTTGGGGCGAGGGCAGTCCTATGTAGGTTTTGCCCGGCGTAACGGGGAGTGGGAGCGCGGCCGCGGCGCGCCCGCGCACCGCTGGCCGCCCGCGCACCCCGCCATGATCAACAGCAGCGCTATAAAGTATCCGTTGTCTGGGCGGGACCCAGTCCATGAGCGGAACTTCTTGGCGCTTCGCTGTGGAGCTGTGCGCGCGATGCAACCGGTTTAGACATTTGCGAGTCGCGCAGCGGGCCCAGCCGCCAACGGGTGCAAAGCAAAGCCTCCTACGTATCGCCCTGTGTCAACTTGTTGGGGGCATCGCCCACTCCCGCCAATGAGACTTGCGAGGCGCTGCGCCGCGCCCCAGGGTGCCCAAATCCCCATGGGTCTGTTTGATGCCTGCGGTTTGCCAGCTGAGCAGCCGGCGCGTGGCGCTCTTGGGCAAGGACGTCGGCGGCGCCTAGTCTAAAGTTTCTCAAGGGGGCTCGGTCGTCTTGGATTGGAAGACTCCGTTCAGAGAGGCGTCCTTGGCAGCAGTCGCTGCCCGGGGTACTGGTCCACTTGACATATGCGCTGCTCCATGCAGTTGGCCATTACTGTCGCTGTTTCCTGGCACCCGTGGGGCCGTCATGGACTGGGCTCGTCTAGATGCGTCATGGGGCGTCGACTGCGGCGCTCTAGTGCCGTTTCGATGCATCTGTCTGCTGCGCGGACCAGCCAGACCGAGCATGGCCCGGAAGCGAATCGACGCCAGACTTCAGTGATTGGGCTTCCCGCAAACACGTAAAATCGCCATCAAACTGCGCCATGGTTGTTTGTCACGCGTTGTTCGTGCCCGCGTATGCAATGCTGTCCATGCGTTGTGGCCAGTGCACCGAAAACGATGGGCGATTTCACGGATCAGGGTGGCCCAGGGGCGGGGCGCATTTTCTTGGGCGTTCGCGATTCCATGGGAGCTGCCCGGAAGGCCAGACCGAATGATTTCCTTCGGTGGTCTCGCCCACGGCTTTCGGGGGCACTCAACGGGCATGGGGCGCGCTTTGCTGGTCGCCAGTGAGGCATTTCAATCCGCGCCGCTGAAACCGAGCTCGCTTCGGCAGGCGGGCACATCTCGCGTTCTTCTGCGAATCGATGGCGCGGCGAGGCTCATCTCAGACATGTCCTCCCCAATGGGGGGCGCGGTGGCGCGGGCGTCAGTGCCGATGTAGCTCGGCAACAACAGAGATGGTTCATGTCGACATTTGCATGAGGAACACAGCAAATATGAGACACCAGAATGGTTTTCACCACGTGCAAGATGATTAGCATTTAAATGCATGTTGGGCAGTGCCAACAGGTTTGTGATTGGCGAGCCTGCGCGCGCGGCGAATTCAGTTGCCCGGGCGCTCGCGCCGATGACATGGGAGCAAGCGAACAAAGAGCTCCAGGACGCGCTGGATACAGACATCCCGCCGCGTTTGAGAAAAAAGGTTTTCAGTCTCCCAGGCCATCCGGAGGTTGCCGTGCGTTTTCAATGCTGTCAAGAGCAAGTGTTGCCAGCACTGGCATGGGGAGACTTGCCGACGCGCCGGGCGTAGCTGCCAGCGCAAGGCGGTGTCCTTCGCCGGATGGCCCAAGAAGAGGAGCTGGCGAAGCATCTCGTGGGCCGTTGACACTGCGACAGAGCGATTTACCCCGGGATTTGAGGCGTGGCGTTTGAAAGATGCAGTCACGGAGTCGCGGGATAAAAGTGCGCACCTTGCCGATGGGCCGCGGCGTCATTGCCGGAGGTGCCACGCAGGAAAATCGCCGCGTGAAGTGTTCGCGGCAGACGCTGTTCAATCCTCCGCCACGTTTTTGGTCGCGCAGCGCGGGCGCCGCGATGCGCACGACCGGTCTGCCTATTGGCGTTTTCTTGAGCAAGGTGTCGCGCCTCGTAATATTGTGCGCGGCAGAGCAGAAGATAGATGGCGCAGTGACGCGGGCCGCCTGCGGACCATTGGGCTTGTCAATCAGAACAGAGGTTGGGAGGGTGCCGTAGCTTCCCGCCTGTGCGTTGACGACCTGGCGACGCGCGCGCCAGTTCAATGCAGGTGTCCGAGGCAGCTTCGTTGATCTACCCAGTCACTTTTGACGAAGCCGCAGATGGACAGCGGCATCAGTGGCTCGATGTAGTCGTTCATAGAGGAAGTTTCCAGGCGGACTTTTATCAACAATGCTTCAGCACCGCGCCGCTGTGAGCTTCCTGGCCACGGGCGATGCGAGCATGCGTTCCCTGTCGGGCTGCCCGCGCGCGAGAGGTCGACGCGCCGCCCCCGTGTTTGGCGCAGCGCGCGTCGCAAGTGATCGTTGGTCCGCGGCTCTGCGGGTGGAGCGCTATTTCAAGCGGGTGTATTTTTCGATCCGCGGACTTGGGGGCGCGTCAGAAGTCAGGGTCCTTCGCCCCGCGCTGCGCGTCGCGGCCGGCGCGCCTGCGCCCCCAACCCCTTTGATTTGAGGTGGGCGCGACTCGTTTCCAGTGAATGTCGGGGGTTGCTTCGCTGCAGCATAGGTAAGGTGCGAAAGGTCGGATTTCATATCAGCAGGCGTCTTGGCTCAGGTTTTTCACCCCGAGAGTTTCCCCCAGCGGCGCACGCGCGAGCGCGCAGTGCTCGAACATCTGGAGGCCGCGGCTGCCATCCGTCACTAGTGCGGGGATGATGCTTGAAAACCCCACGCGGGCATGACAATATAATAAATATGGGCACGCCGTCATCGCGTTCATCGCCGCTGTCAGCATCGCTACAGCCCCCAGCATCACTTCACTAGTCGCGCGTACCGCTCGAGGGAAGCATGCGCGACAAACGTAGTTTTAAACGTTAGCGTTGGCAGCGCTTACGCGGTTTAAAATGCTTGCCCCTCGGTCCGCCGTGGAAATGCTCGCAGGCGACGTCGGGGGGGCGTCGCACCAATGCGGGTCTTGCGCCTGCAAGGCTGCTCGAATGTGCTCGCAGGGGCAGCTCTGGCATCGGCGCGGGCGCCTTCGCCTCGCCCGCGCCGCCGCCCCCCCCCGTCTTTCCCATCCTGGCCCCGCCCCCTCTTCCCCCCCCCGGGGCATCGCAGGGCGCGCGCCGGGACGCCCCAAGGTTTCAGAGGGCGCCCGACGGCGTCCACTGGCAGCCGCGGGCCCCCCCCCCACCACCGCGCCCCCCCGCCGGATGGCATCAGAGGGCCCCCGGTGGCGCCCGAGGGCCACAGATGGATTTTTTTTGCATCCGAGGGCATCCCGAGAGCACTCGGCGGCTCCCAGGGGCCTCCGAGGGCGTCCGAAGGGCCCCGAGGGCATCGGAGAGCACCCGATGGCATTCAAGGGCCCCCGCCAGACCGCCCACTCGCGCCCCTCCAGGGCAGGCCACTTGCGACCCTAAATGGCGCCCCCGCTCGAACCCCCCCCCGTTATTATTTTTGGGGGAGGTAATCGTGCGGGGGGCGTCTCGAGCGGGAGCGCCATTTAGGAGTGGCGCTTCCGCTCGAGACATCTCCCCCGCTATAATTTCTAGGGGCTGACCCGCGGGCCGCGGGTCGCTCCCTCGGGCGACGTCGCGGGGCGCGTGCGGCTGCGCTGGTCGCGCGGGCGCGCCCAGGTGCTTTCAGGCCCGCGCGGGCGCCGTCGAGAATGTTCAGGTGCCATCGGGTGTAGCCGGGCGCGCCCGGGAGCTCCCGGTGGTCATCGGGGGTCCTGGGGTGCGCGTTGTGGAATCTGTCCGTTTGGGCGTGCCCTCGGGGGCGCTCGGGCGCTTTTGGGCGCCGGCTTCGGGCGGCCCTTGGGCGCGCCCGCGCGCGTTCGAAGGTCGGCCCGCATGGGCCTCAACATCCATCGGATGCATGTAATTGTAATCGCAGGCGTTCAAGCAAACTCGGGGGCCTCGAGGAGAACCAGCGACGCTCGGGATTTCTCGGTGGCTGGACCCACCAGCAGCATTCGAAAATAGCGAGAGTTTCGCAGATCGCAGCCCCCCAGGGACGGCGAGGTCTCGCTCAGGTCTGCGCGGTGCCTCACTCCGCTGGACCCACCAACAGCCCCCGAACATGATGACATTTTCGCAGATCGCAGCCCCCCAGGGACGGCGAGGTCTCGCTCAGGTCTGCGCGGTGCCTCACCCCGCTGGACCCACCAGCAGTCTTCGAAAGTGGCGACAGTTTCGCAGATCGCAGCCCCCCAGGGACGGCGACGTCTCGCTCAGGTTTGCGCAGTGCCTCATTCCGCTGAGCCCACCAGCAGCCCTCGGCGACAGTTTCGCAGATCGCAGCCCCCCAGGGACGGCGAGGTCTCGTTCAGGTCTGCGCGGTGCCTCACTCCGCTGAACCCACCAGCAGCCTTCGAAAGTGGCGACAGTTTCGCAGATCGCAGCCCCCCAGGGACGGCGAGGTCTCGCTCAGGTCTGCGCGGTGCCTCACTCCACTGGACTCACCAGCAGCCTTCGAAAGTGGCGACAGTTTCGCAGATCGCAGCCCCCCAGGGACGGCGACGTCTCGCTCAGGTCTGCGCGGTGCCTCACCCCGCTGGACCCACCAGCAGCCCTCGAGCGTGGCGACAGTTTCGCAGATCGCAGCCCCCCAGGGACGGCGAAGAGAGGTCAGGAGGCGGGAGGAAGGAAGGAACGAAGGAAGGACGCGCGAGCAGTGCTCTATGCAGAACGAATACCCAACCAAGGAGGGCGAGGGAACAAAAAACATACAGAAAGAGAAGCAGGAAGATGGAAAGAGAGATAGAGAGAGAGGGGAGGGAAGAGAAGCGGAAGGAGAGAAAGAGAGGGAGAGAGAGAGGGAGAGGGAGAGAGATATCTACAGAGAAAGCGAGATGGAGAGAATGATTGAGAACGAGAGAGGATGATAACGATACATATAAAAAAATCCGCCCCCGAAGTGCCCCGAAATCGCCCCTCCAGAAGTGACCGCCCTCGAGGAAGACGACGGTGGTGATGGTGATAACGATGATGATGATGATGATGATGATGATGATGATGATGATGATGATGATGATGATGATGATGATGATGATGATGATGATGATGATGATGATGATGATGATGATGATGATGATGATGCTGATGCTGATGCTGATGCTGATGCTGATGCTGATGCTGATGCTGATGCTGATGCTGATGCTGATGCTGATGCTGATGCTGATGCTGATGCTGATGCTGATGATGCTGATGACGATCATGACGATCATGACGATGATGCTGATCACACCGACGACGACAACGACTACTACGTTGGTGGTGATGATGGTGATCATGCTGATGACGATGATGACGAGGATGATGATCACATCGGCGACGATAACGACGACTACGTTGGTGGTGATGATGATGACGATGATGACGAGGACGAGAAGGAGGAAGAGGAGGAGGAGGAAGATGAGGAGGAGGAAGATGAGGAGGAGGAGGAGGAGGAAAACGACCACGAGGACGAGGAGGACGAGGAGGACGAGGAGAATGAGCGTGAGAAGCCAGGAGAAGCAGGATGATAGTAGATGGAGGGATAGAAAGGTAGAGGGATGGGTAAAGAGAGGAGGAGGGAGGGAGGGAGAGAAGGAGGGAGTGCGGGAGGGAGGGAGGATGGAGCAGCAGGAGGAGGAAGAACGATGGGGGATGGGGGCTCTTGGGCTTGGAGGGTGGAGGGAAGCCCGCACGCGGCGGGCTGCCGCATCTCAGGTCGCTGGGAGCGCCGCCGATGCTGCTGGCGCTGCGGGGGCTCACGCCACTGAGGCGGAAGCCAGCCCTCGTCCGGTCCTCCTTTTCTTCTAATTCTCTCCGTAGCCAGTGGCTCAGAGTTGCGAGCATGTCTCAGGCGAAACGCGCTGGACCACCTCACGGGCGGCATCTCGGAACCCAGAGTTGCGAGGATGTCTCAGGCGAACAGGGCCAGACCACCTCTGTCGCGGCATCTCAAAGCTCAGAGTTGCGAGGATGTCTCAAACAGCGCCCAGACAATTCCCAGAGCAGAGTTTGACAACAGAAATGTAATCAAATGGTTCGTTTGGGCCTGACCCTCCCCCTTTCTCCTACCTCTCGGAACCTAGAATTCTGAGGAGTTCTCAAGCGAAACGCGCTGGACCACCTCAGCATGTCTCAGGCGAAACACGCCCGAGACCATTTTGCGCGCGGCATCTCGGATCTTAGAGTTGCGAAGATGTCTCAGGCGAATTGGGCTGGACAACCACTCGCGTGGCATTTCGGATCCTAGAGTTGCGAAGATGTTTCAGGCCTGCCGAGCCACCTCTAGCGCGGCGTCTCGGAGCCTAGAGTTTCGAGGATGTCTCAAGCGAAACGTACCGAGCCACCTATCGCGCGGCTTCTCGCAGCCCAGAGTTTCGAGAATGTTTCAGGCGAAACGAGCCGGACCACCTCGTTCGCGGCATCTCGGAGCCCCGAATTTTTCGGAGAGCATAGTTTTGAGGATGTCTCAGTTGAACACGCCCGACCATCTCTCGCGCAGCTTCTGGAAGCCGAAAGTTTCGAGGATGTCTCGGGCGAGACGTCAAATCGCGGACAACGCAGAAACGACAGTTGTGAGTATGTCTCAGGCAAAACGGCCCGGACCGCTTCACAATGTTGAGGATGTCCTCATGCGGGTGTCTTTCGGCCAGAACTAGCTCATACCATAACAACGCCCCTGTCAGCGCAGCTGTTTGGGGAAGGAGGGAGGTTGTTAGTTCATTGCCTCCGTGGATAACGCGATTTACCCCACTCCCAGACCCCCCCCCGTTAATTACGGTAACGCATGGAAACCGGCCACGGGCGTGCATCTTTGCAGTGTCCAGAGGATCTAGTAGGGACCCCCATGCATATCCTACGGATCGTCACAGGGCTCTTTAGAGCCGTCAATTGAAGCGCGAGAAGGAAGGAGGAGGGGGAGGAGGAGGAGGAAGAAGAGAAAGAGGAGGACAAGGAAGAGGATGAGGAGAGGCTGGAGGAGGAAGAGGAAGAGGAAGAGGTGCACACGGCTGCTGTGCTTGCGCAAGCATCGGGTTGCACATTGGCGTTGGCAAAAGGTGATGACCGAGGACCGAACGGCGTAAAAGGACAGATCGTTCCAGAATGCTGGCGGAGGCGGTGCCTCAACCGATGCAGTCTTGCACGGCCAGAACACATCCATTTATCTCTATCACGAGCCCCACAAAGCGGCGAATTCGGGCTGGATCGGATCCAGAGCCGATTACGCCGACAGTGCATCTTCAAAGAATGGACCGATCGGTGATTGCGCTACTGGCGGTCGTACACAAAACCGGGCGACCCACGCGACATTCTCGCGTGGTTCCACGGTGGCACCAGCCCCAGGCGACGGCGAGGTCGTCGAGGTTGTGCCAGAGGGAGCAGGAACCGTTGAGGTAGTCGACGAACTCGGCGCAGATGATTCAGAAGCGGAGGGAGGAGGATGCTGGACCCGCGGGGACGTCCAAAACGGATAAACCTGAAACGTGGAGCCGTCTCCCGGCAGCATCAATTTACGCACTTGCCGAAGAGCCCTTATTTCACGACTTGCCATTAGGCAAAGGGCGCAAGGAAGGCAAAATAATAATAAGGCCTACACGCAGTTACGGCCCAACTCTGAGCTGACGAAGTTTCGGGGTCTGTGCGTCATGGATCATTGGTTCGCGGCTGGTGATCTCTCTAGGGGACACTGCGGGGCGTGACGTTGCGCTACCAGTTTGCGGGATTCTTGGCTAGCCAGGGCACTCGCGATAAATAGGCAGAGCACGTGGTCGATTTTCTTGCCAATCTTCGAGGGCCTGATGAGAATTTTGCGCACATGCGCGCGGACGCGGCACCTGAACTCAAGAAGGCGTGTAAGTCACTCCGCGTGCATCTTATGAGCGAGTCGGTGACTGCTCGTGACTTGACCCAACCTGCAAACAAGAAACTGAACTCCGTCGAGGAGTTGGCGAACGGCATAGTACAGGACGGAACTCGCACGCCCCTGATGACTGCTGCTTCGCCCGCGCCGTTTTGAGCATGCGCTGTACCTCATTTCTGTCTGCGCCACAATGCGCGACAGAGTCTGACAGCGGGGTGCCGGCGAGTCGCCGTGGAAAAAGAGATTTTACCTAACAGCGAAGACTGATAGGTTTCGAAGCCGTCTTGGAGCCATCTTCGGCGTCTTGGAGCGACAGTTCGGGGGTTCTGGGCCGTCTTGGACGTTTGGAAGCCTCCTGGGACTCGGGGGGCGTTTCGGGGCTGTCTGGGGCTGTCTCGGAGGGGCCCCATTTGCCCGGTCCTCCCATGCCCCCCCGTGGCCCGGGCCCCTGGCGCCCAGGCCTGGCGCACGGGAATAAATTTACCCATGTGTATGTATGTATGTATGTATGTATGTATGTATGTATGTATGTATGTATGTATGTATGTATGTATGTGTATATATATATCCACATATATATATATATACAAGACTGCATTGGCGCTGCGCGCCATGCACCTTGGTCCTTTGGAGTTCGCACGCTAACGGAGTGCGAGCGTGCGTACATGCGCACGCACATGCGTCTATGAATGCATAGTACAAATGTGTATATATATATATATACGTTTGTATGGATATGTACATGTATATGCGAATGGTCAGTGTAGCTATGTGTGCGCATACACATGCGTATATCAGGCGGTGGTGGCCTGACCAGTTGCTCATATCATCGCGCCACTAATAGGCGCGAGGGTCTCAGGCAAACGTGGCCAGACTACCATGGGACAGTGCGTCGCCGAGGTCAGTGTTGCGAGGACGTCCCGGGTGAAAATGGCCTGAACACCTCCGCTCAGGGGAGGGCATATCCGAAGTCAGCCGTGCGAGGAAGTTTCAAGCGAGGAGTGGTCTGAACACTTCTGCTCAAGGCATCCTTGAACTTAGAGTTGCGAGAAGTCGCGCGCGAAAGTGGCCGAACCACCATGGTGCAAGGCACCTCCGAAGTGAGACTTGCGAGAGTGTCTCAGGCGACAGTGGCTGGAACACCTCAACTAAGAGTGCCTCGGGCCCCAGAGCTGCGATGATGTCTCAAGCGAAAACGGCGGGACCGATGCGAAGCAAGGCGCTTGGAGTTGCGAGCATATCTCTGGCGAAGCGGATTAGACTACTTTCCGTTATCTCCTCTTCCTCCTTCCTTTTTCTTTTCCTTTCCTCCTCCTCCTCCTCCCCCTCCTCCTCCTCCCCCTGTTCCTCCTCCTCTTCCTCTCCCCCCTCTCCGCTTTTTTTTGTCCATTATCCCCATCCCTGGCGGCGCGGCGCGGTGCCGCTCGGCCTCTCTGCGAGTCAAGCGGCAAAGGGTGAGAGACCCCCCCAATTAGGAACGGTTTTTACCAAGCCGCCAAGGGGGCCCCAAGGTAGTGCAAGAGGCGGTGCAGGTTTTGAAATCCCCCGAGGGCTCCTCGGATTCGGCCGGCCCTCTCCGGTAAGGTAGGCAAGGGCGCCGCGTCCAGGTGCTCAATCCCCCGTATCTCCCTCCCCTCGTCTTCGTTCCTTTCTCCATGTCCCCCTCCTCCTCGTCTTCGCCCCCCTTTTCCCCCTCGTCCTCCTCCCCCCTCCCCCCTCCTTCTCCTCCCTTGATGCCCCCGCGTGGTTTTCGGGCCATGAGTCGGGCCTCTGGGGGCCGTTCGCGACGTTTCCGGCGCCCCCAAAACGCTTCCGGCGAATCGCAGATGCTGAAAGGAAATCCCCGGGCCGGAAAACCCCCCAGAACAAACAATCCGAAAACCTTGATCCTCCATTCGAGCATGAAGAGGATGAGGAGAAGGAGGAGGAGGAAGAGGAGGAGGATGAAGAGGAGGAAGAGGATGAAGAGGATAGATTATGTGGATATCTGGGGCACAGCCGAGGTGTCGCGGAAGAAATCCGCAGCATAGACTTGGGAGAGTGAGGAGGGCTGCTTCTGCTAGACCTTTGGCGGGGCGGAACGTGAAACATCACGGGGAATTAAGAGAAGGAGGAGGAGGAGGAGGAGGAGGAGGAGGAGGAGGAGGAGGAGGAGGAGGAGGAGGAGGAGGAGGAGGAGGAGGAGGTAGAGGAGGAAGAGAATGAGGAAGAGGAGGAGGAGCTCTTGGGCCCTTCGGTGGTTTGAACGAAAAATGGCCTCGCTGCGCCATTTGATACGACAACGACGACGACGAAGAAGGCGACGACAAAGAGAAGGGATAATGAGAGGGGGAGACCGCTGTGTTGGGATCTCGCGGCGCGCCTCTCGGGGCCCTCTGGGAGGCAGTTTTGAAACCTTTTCGGGGTGTTTTGGGGTTCTTGGGGTCTTTTTGGGGCCTCTTGGGGGCCTCTCGGGGGCTCCTTGGGGCCTCTTGGGGGCCTCTTGGGGCCTCATGGGGCTCTCTCCGGGCGTCTTGGGGCTCTCTCGCGGCGGAAAATTTAGTTTTTGAATTTTGGGCGCCCTCTTGGGTCTCTCTTGGGGCCGTTTTGGTGCTCTCTTGGGCCGTCTTGGGCGCGTCCTGGGCGGTCTCGGAGCCCTCCTGGACCGTGTTGGGGCCTCCTTGGGGGCCTCTTGGGCAGCACGGGGGCGATCTAGGGAGCCTCTCGGGCCATTGTGGAGCGTCGGGAAGCGGGAAAAGCGAGAAGGCCAAACATATAGAAACAAAAACACAGGAAAATCAACAATTGTAGCCTCTCGGGGCTCTCTTGGGAGGCCTCTTGGGGGTCTCTGGGGGCGTCTTGGACGCGACCTGGGCAGTCTTGGGCCCAGATTGGGCGTCTTGGGCAGATCTTTGGGTGTCTCGGGGCCCTCTTTGGCCGTCGTGGGTTGTTTTTTTTCGCGTCGCATTCGCAGGACAGACACGGAGCATTCTGCAGGAGCGCCCCAAAGGCTCGGGGAGGCCGAAATTCGTGTGGGGGGGGCACCGTGTGCCGCTTTTCCGGGGTCCCCGGCCTTGTAAAAATATATGAATAGGTGTGTGGTATGTATATATATATATATATATTATATTATATATATATATATATATATATGCGTGGATATGAAAATTTGTCGTTCGGTTCCGTTCAAAGGTTTTGTCTTGGAGTGTTCCCGGGTCGCCCAGCCGGTGCCGCGGGGCATTGTTGCGGTAAGAACGAATGCCGCCCGAGGGGCCCGCGTCGAGACATTGGAAACATGTTGAGGTGGTTCGGCGTGTTTCGTATGAGACATCGTCGCAACTCTGCGTTCCAGGACGACCAGATGTGACATGGTCCGGTCCGCTTCGCTTGAAACATCCTCGCAACGCTGGGCCCCCAGACGCTGCGCGAGAGGTGGTCCGGCACATCTCGTTTGAAGCATTATCAGAATTTGTGGGTTCGGGGATACCGTGGCCTGAGGTTGCCTCGTCCGTTTCGTTTGAAGCATCGTCGCTACGGTAGGCTTGAAGATGCCGCCCGCGAGGTGATCCGGTCAGTTTGGCCTGAGAGGTCCCCGCAATTCTTGGCAAAGAGATGCCGCGTGCGAGGAGGTCAAGTCAGCTTCGTATGATATGTCCCCGCAATTCCGAGCAACCGTTGAGGAGTGCGAAGCGAAGAAGGAGCGGGAGGACCAGGAGTAGCAGGATGACTGAAGACGAGGGTGAGGAAGGATAATGCTCGTATTGCTGTCAGACAAGTACTATTGTTTTCAATGTTCGCGGGACACTTCTCGTCGCTAGGGCTTCACGCGGCTCGATCGTGCCTGCTGATGCGGGCTGGTGTTCTGCCGACGAGGGGTGTGTCACGGGCCTGTTCGCTCCCAGATTGTGGGGATGTCTCGAACGGTCAGTTTTTTTTACGGGGTGGAGGTGTGTTTCGGAGTTGCACGGTCTTCGCTGGTCACTTCGGTCGACTTTTGGGGCTGTTTGCGGCCGCATCCAGGGCTTGCCTTGGCTGACGGGCGGGGCAGTGCACCTGAGCCCCGGTGCCCGGGTCGCTCGGGACAGCTCTGGGCGATCCCGGCATTCCCCTCAAAAGAGCTGGTCGCGCTCCATGGCCCACAGAGAACCATCCTCGGAATTTTGAGCTCCGAGATGCTCTGACTTGATGTGCTCTGGCTCGTTTCATTGGAGACGTCTTCACAACTCTGGACTCCAAGATGTGGTTCGCGAGGTACTCAGGCCCGTTTTGCCTGAGACATCCTTGGAACCCCAGGCTTCGAGATGCCCTGAATTGAGGTGAGACATCCTCGGGATCCCTGGCTCTCCGTTTGGCCAGAGACGTCCTCGCAATTCTGGGTTGAAGATGCGGTTCGCCAGGCGCTCAGGCCCGTTTCGCTTGAGATATCCTCGGAACCCTGGGCTCCGATGTGCCTTGACTTGAGGTTCTCTGGCCCGCTGGGCTTGAGAAATCGTCGCAACTCACACCTCTGGGTTCCAAGATGCGGCTCCCGAGTTGATCTGGCTCGTTTCACCTGAGACATCCCTCGGTTCCAAGATGTTGTTCGCGAGGTTACTCAGTCCCGTTTCGCCTGAGACATCCTCCGAACCCCAGCTATTGCGAGATGCCCTGAATTGAGGTGCTCTGGCATGTTTCGCTTGAGATGTTCTCGCAACTCTGGGTTCCAAGACGTGGTCCGCGATGTGCTCAGGCACGTTTCGCCTGAGACATCCTCGGAATCCCTGGCTCCGAGATGCCCTGACTTGAGGTGACCCGGGCGTAAGTGCGCCACGCTTGAAGACGACATTGACGGAGTTGTTGTTGGGGTTGCCCCCTGTTCACGGGGAAGCTGGGGATCAATAAAAAGTTACAGAACGCATGATAAGTCGCCATTTGTATATACATATTTGTATACACATACATACATGCATATCTATATATATATATATATATATATATATATATATATATATATATATACGTACACAACCATACACACACACACACGCGCGTACACATTATGTGTGTATACACATATGTACGTGCACACCTACACGGAAGGTCACGATCCCGGGGTACCGGGCAATGCGGAGCCAGACTAGGGCACCCCAGTTCTCTTTTGATCTCTCTCAGCCCCAGACGACGCGTCGTAGAATCCCCCAAAGACCCCTTTACACGACTTCTGGGTTACCATATCAAATGGCGGCAAGTCCCACGACCAACCTTAAGGGAGCTCCCGAGTCAACCTGGCAGTACCCAGCAGCAAGTTGCGATGATGGATCCTCGAGCGCGACTAGAACCTAAGCGCGGGCGAAGTGCGCGCCTGGTTCTAGTGCTTGACCTATGTGCGCGTCGGCCCCGCAAGGGGGACGCGCGCGCTCAGAAATCTAGAAATCTTATCGTTTAAGCTCCGTGGCGGACGGTTTCTGGCCATGCCGCTTGGGAGACGATGTGCGAATGGGGGCTTATCGCAACAGGTCGGTGCCGCTGCGCTGGCATTTCGAGCTCATCCGTTGCACTGGGTTGTTATGTTTTTTATTGGGCCTGCCCTCCCGAGAGGCAGTGTCGGCGGCGACGGCCAGCGAGCAAGCCGCCTCCACACCTTCGGAGAGCTTGTTCAACGAGACTTGGCCCCCTGCCGACGACGAGGTCGTTGCCGAGGTCGTTGCCGAGTCCGCGTCGGCAGCGCGCCAGGCTTCAGGCTAGAAAATGAGGAAAAACAAAGTGCATGAGCTTCAATTTGAAGAGGTCCGTCTGGATTTCTTGAATCGGCGCTGGGCCCCCCTGGCGGCGCCTCCAGCGCCGATCCAGGCGGACCTTCGAAAGTTTGTGTTTATGCAGATGTTTGCCTCTAAGACATACGTGCCGATACCGATGGCTTGCTGCATCATCGGGCACATTGCGCTATCGTCGTGCATGCGACGTGGGCTCGACGCGAGTTTGACGTGGACTCGACGTGGATTCAACGCGGATGCGACGCGGACCCGACGCAGATTCGACGCGTTCGACATGGATTTGACGCGGATTCGACGCAGATAGCGGCGCGATCAGACACACAAGGTGTTTCGAATATGCCATACGACCGAGTTGTTTCTTTCGTTTGCACCGTTTGGGAGATTTCTTGGGGGACCTCGCCGCCACCGTTTTGTTTCGCCCCAGAGTCCTGGTCAGAACGTATCCTAAAAAGGCCAAGCAAGATGCAGTAGCGATGTACTGGTATCTTTATGTGTTCCCAAGGCGGTGGTGGAGTCGGCGGAGCACAAGTTCGAGGCCCCTGGCCCTTCAGTCGAATTCTGGACGCGCTTCACGTTACCCCAACAGCCCATCCAGAAACGATGCCCAGACGAGTTGTTCTGATCAGGGATGCGGAGGAGCACGCAATGGAATTAGGGTTTGGGGGAGTTGTCATACCCCAAGAGGGGGAGGATGGAGATGGAGTGGAATTCGGTGGAGAAAGGGCAGGGGTAGGGGGAGGGGGGGGGTAGAGGAGGTACGACAAGCCAGGTGCGCTCGCGTCAGATCTGGCGTCCTACCCCTCCCTCCCATCCTTCTGCATGGCGAAGATATCCTCTCTACCCGCACAGTCGGATGTCGAGCAGGGCAATGATCGCGAAAGTGTACGCGATGCATGGTAGAGCACGACATGGCATGGCGTAGAAGAGCACGACAGAGCGAAGCATGCCATAACATGGCGTGGCGTTGCGCAGTGAAGCATTGCATCACGTAGCATCGCGATGCAACACATGGCATCCCACAGCGGCACAGCACACAACACAGCACAGCATGTCAGGGCATGGCGCCAGGTTCCTTGGAGGGTAAGCGGATCGTTTTCGAAGGGTCTGGGCTGGTCTGGAGTCGCGGCTCCGTGTTTAGCTCTGGGCTCTCCTAAAAGCTCCCCACACGGCGGGGCTGATGGAGAGCACCCGCTGACTTTGCTTGCAACACCGCCTCCTCGAACCAGAACGGGGCTCCCGCTTGATACTTCCTGAAGGCGACGACGCCCCAAAGTGGTGGGGGGCTTCTGCGGCCCCAAAAAATCAGCACTTCGACATCGAATGTGGAATAACTTCCGATGTGTTTTTTTTTCGGTGGGGCATTTTCTAGATGTTGGGGCTTATTTGGAAGGACCGAAAACCATGCCGTGGCATGGCGCTGGAAATAATGACGCCAGCGCTGCAGCGGGAGCACGATTCGAAACAAGCGGAAGCGCGAAAATGATGCCAATGCTGCAGCGGAAACGCGATTCGGAACGAGTGGTAGCCCGAAAACGAGGCCAGCTCTTCAGCGAGGGCAGCATGTTGAAACAGACCCGAGCGAAACCTCTTTTCCGTGGAGTCCGATGTGTAAAAAAGGGGTGCGCGGATGGGGCCAGATATTTTCCAGACGTCACCAGGGGAGAGAGGAGAATAGTATTCATATTGTGTATATGTGGAGCAGTAGGCGGCTGAGGAGGAGGAGCAGGAGGAGGAGGAGGAGGAAAAGGAGGAGGAGGAGGAGGAAAACGGCGTATTATATTCTAGCGTTCCGATTGGGTGGGCAGGATCGGCGAGTGTGATTGTATCATTTGTATAGCAGTAGAGTCATGCCAAGCTGGAGCCGAAACTGTGTACCACATCTTCGGCTCAAGTTTCATCCGCCTGCTCCCATACAAATCCTCCCATATTTTCATGGTGCCGTTATCCGTGGCTCGCCCCACGGGTTCCAGAGCACAAATGGCCTCGGCAGCAGGTGCAGCTGCCCCAGCGAACCCTGGCACCAACGATCCGAGCTACGATGTGTCGCCACTTGAAGCGAAGGAAGCTCAGTACAACCTGGGTACAAACAGGTTCGCGGAACTATGCACCACAGGTTCCGAGAACAGGGGCTTCAGATACGCGAGCACTGCGCACAAGGCCAACCTCGAAGGCATGGAGTGGCTCTTTGAGTGCAGTGCCATACAGGACACCGGAAATGCTGAAAATGATGAAGCAGCCACCTTGTCACAGATGAACTGTAAAATGAACGGTCCCCTGATCTCTGTTATCGACCACAACATGTACTTACTTCAAAGAACAATTCAACAACGTGAAAGTATGTGAAGAAGCGGATTCAAACGTCAATCGAGTATCTCGGGACATGTTGTCAATATCGCTGACAGTCTGCAGACAACGCTAGAGCAGGCGGAGGTGGACACAACTCCGCGAGCGAATACACGGCTGATCAACAGTGAAACATGTTCAGGCGGTCAGACGAAGTTCATATTATGGAGCGAAAAGTTGCTGAATGCTTTCGCCCAAGTGAAGCACGGTCATCAGTAAACCTTCCATAATTTGAACAAGAAGCTCTGAAACATGGACCGGGCACCACCCGATGACGAAGGGGGTGATATGACAAAGATCGTCATGACCAGGGGGTTCATTTTGGGCGAAGGCACCAAAGCGTCGGAAATCAACAGAAGGGGAGATGAGTGAAAAGGGGGAAGATGAGATAGACGAAGACGATGATGCCAAATTTGACGAGGACTTCTGGCATTTCCTAAACGACAAGCGAAGGAGAACAGAACCCCGAATGAAATTTGGGGGCCTACATGAAGGAGAAGTTTTGATAGCTTATGAAGAAGCCTTACAAGTGTCACTCTGCGGTTACCAGGGCCATACTTCCGCACAAGATGAATCTGGGCATGGGCCCCGAAAAATCGGAGAAGATGAAAGAGGCGGCCGCGCAGCTTGAACAGTTGAGCGCGTCAGTCGAATCATTTGAAAAAGACGGGCTTTCCATTCGTTGCCATTGCTTCCAGGGCTAGTGAGGATCAGTCTGACCCACGCAGGTGATTAGTTCGACGACTGGCAACAGGATTGCTTCGGAACCTCTGAGTCGTTGAACATCAACAGCTTCCAAAAGCTCTTCGCGAAGTGAGGGGACAGGGCAAGGGAGAAACGGTTAGACGCCGACGCGAAGAATACCGACAGTGCGAATTATGTAAACACTGGAAACATCGCGGATTACTGCGACGAGGCAAGCAGCTGGCGGCCCTGGGGCGCGGAAGATATGATCCAGAATGGCACAACGAACGAAGCTTGCACAAAGAACAGTACATAAGGGCAAATGGCCCATACGTTACAGGTGCGTAAGACATGGGCGCGCAGCGAAAGACTGCGCCGCCAAAGGGGCCACCGAAGGAAAGGGAGGTGGAAAAGGACAGCACAGAGGTGCCAATGGTCACCAAGGGGCGCATGCAGGAGGATGCGCAGGGGGATGTCACATTGCCAAGGGTTGCCCGGGTGAATATGTAGAGGGAGGTCACAGATGGGGCCCTCCTGGAGATTGCCGAGGGAGCCAGGCCCCACGCTGGGAAGGAGGAGGCGAGGGGGGATTTGCACCGATCGGCGAAAGCGGGTGTTACAAATTTGGCGAAAAGGGTCACGTCGCGGACCGCTGCCCCAAGAGCGCCAACGAGGCGGCCGCGCGCCGAGCGGGGGGCAGGGGGCCCAGGAGAGCCCACGCAGATGTCAGGCCCGCCCCGCAGCGCCGAGATGGGCGAAGTTGCCGGCGAGAGTGGAGCTGCCAATGACTCTGGGGCACCGGGCCGACGTAGGGGGGCGCAGGAATGGAGGGCGTTGCGCCGGGCGACAAAGACGGGGAACTGGGGGGCAGGGCAAGCGTTTGAGGGGGGGCGTGCGCCGCGCGAGCGCAGCGCCTATTGGTGCCATGGCGCCAACCGGGGCAACGGAATTTCGGAGTGCATTGCGGAGGAAATAATTGGACCTGCAGTTTCTGGAGATTGGAGGGCCCAACGAGCAAGTCCATGAGGAACCGGTGAGGGATCAGGAAAGCGACGTGGAGACGATTGTTGTTGCTGCGGATTCAAGAGCTCACCCGGCGAACACTGCGGCGCGGCGAATGGGGCTGTCATCAGGAGCCATGGGCAACGAGTAATTGCGGGAAACAAACGAGAAGGAACCCATGGTGAGCATGCCCATCCAAGTAGGCGATGCTAACATGCGCTCGGGCCTGCGCGTGAGATGGTCGACGCAGTGGAGCAGCGGGGCAGCATGCGATTATATACATATATGTGTATATAAACGAGACAGCGATATCTTTCAGCTCACCGCACGGGCCCCAGAACTGGCTGCGAGCCAGGGGGCCGCGAGGGGAATGGCGGGGGTCGGCGATGAGGGGCGCGGTTTTTTCACAGACGGTGACTTCCCATGGCGGATTTGCCCTGCTGCGTCCGAGTGGGCCCGCGAGCCCCAGCCAGAATCCAGTCGCCGTGATTTGTTCTCGCGGAGGGGCGACGGGGGCGAAGGCGGGGGCGGCGAGTCAAGTGGCGCGCAGGGCGCGTTTGTCAGCGCGGAGGCCGAGGCGCCCTGGGAAATTTCCAATGGCTCGAGACCGAGCGAAGTGGAAGTTTGGCGACATATTAAAACTCACTTGCCTCGCCGAAGCTGGCGCCCCAACCGCGCCAGGGGAAAGGCGGGGCGGGGGTCGCGCAGAGAGAAGTCGAGGGCGCCGGGGCAAGGCGCAGCGGTGCTCTTAGTTGACTATGCGCGGTTCAGCGGGAAGAGAGGAGGCCGCGTTGAGCGACGGGGGGCCATCCATTGCGGCGCCCAAGGAAGCCGGTGGAGCAGCTTCACCGGCTTCTTGCGGCCTCCGCGCTGGGGCGGGGGCCAGCCCCGTCGGAGACCCCCGCGCGCGCGGCGAAGCGGAAAGGGCAATCGGAGCAGTGGCGACACAGGACATTGGAGAGCGCGTTCGACGACGAACAGAATAATTATTGTTTTGGAGAGGAGCGCGCGCCCATGCCTTGGCCAGCGGCTCGCTCATCTCCCCCCGCCAAGCCCGCGATGGGCACCTATGGCAGGGCGCCCCGCGAATGGCGCAGAGGGCAGGAATCCAAAAGCCCGCCATCCGAGCTTGGAGAACGCATCGCGCATCACCTGGAGACTCCGCCCGCGGGGGGGGGCGAGGACGTCGAGGCCGGAGGGGGGGGGGGGCATGCATTTGCGTGGGCATTTTCTTGAGGATACATAAAATACGCCACGAATTAATCATGCCCGCTGGCACTCCAGAGGCGGCCATCAAGTCCCGCGAGTTCAGTCGCGCAGAAAGCGGCGGGGAGAAGTGGAATGTTGGCGAGGCCAACAGCGTCAGAGTGGTGCCTGGGCAGCCAGATTCCAATGCATTTGGAATTGAAGTCGATGGCCAGAGTGATCTGGCCTATGGCGGTGCCTAGTCGAGATTCGGCCGGCAACGCAGGGCCGTCGATGGCGCGCGGGATTGCTGCGAAGGAG